CAGTGTGAATCCCAGTTCTACTGGTAACAACCTTCAGAACTTTTGGCATGCACCTCAACCCTATATCTCTCCCATCCCTTTCCTCTTTAAGTTCTACTGTCTTGATTTATAAAATAAGTGGACTGAACCAGACTAGACACTCTGAAGGCCTCCTTTCTGGTTCTGATATTCTCTGTGTCAATAAGACATATGGCATATTGGACATAAACAGAGCTCACATTTTTGAGGAAGGAAAGGACAAGGTGGCCTTGACAGGCTGAACAAATGCCACACAGTGACAGAAGATGGAAGATGCAACTGGCACCGGGAAGAGTACTGTCACCTGTAGAGTGTTGAAGGATTTCTGCTCCCTTGTAATTAACTACGGAGTCCATGTTCTGGCTCCTCAGTACAAAGAAAAGAATGTGGTGATTGGCTGCCCCAGCTCTCTGCTGCTATAATGAAAATCAGACAGGCACCTGCATGGCTCTGCACATGACTCAGTGAAAAACAATCCCCTTGCTGATACAGGTTGCAGTTAGATTTTCTTTGTTTGTATCCAGGGCTTTCTTGTTACCTTGTGAAGAGCTCACCAACAGCTTCTTTGATCCAACATTATCATATCAATTATTCAAGGCTTGTACATCCCTTTTCAATTAACAATCTCCTTGGCTCCAGAAAACACATATGCACAATTTATAAGCGTATTCTTTAAATATTTCATAAAGAACAGGTCACTATAAATTAAAAATAAGACTGCTAATGAAATATTTAATGTCTTTTGAAATGCAATGAAATGTCAAGAAATTATAAATCTTTTAATTAAATGTTTCTTTAGTATATTCTGCCCAGGTAACAATATTAAACATGTATAGAAATTAAAGTCACAAAAACAATGCTTTGTTTTGTTTGTCAACTTAATAAAGTAGGGACACATCAATTTAGCTCACAGGAAGGGAAGTTCTGGACAAGGACTCAGGAGACCTGAGTCCAGGTCATGATTGTGCCATCAGGTAGCTGTGTGATCCTTTTTCCATATCTCAATTTGCTCATCTGTATGTGGACTAGTTAGACATTTTACAACATTAAAAACCTATCAATCTATTTTCACAGCACTCAGTATTACATTGACGGGTCTTTTTATTGCCTTCCAGTGTGCATGTCTGGTTTCCTGAAGGAGATATACTGAGGCTAGAGACCCACTATTTTGTGCACTGAAGCTATCTAGACACAGAGAAGATGCCTAACAATAACTTACTGAATGAAGGAAAAAATCTGCTGTAACATATTTTAAAGCTTTCACACTTCTGGGAAGATAAAACATCTGTGTTAGCCATAATTCCTAGAGAAAGCCTGTCTAAATGAACAGTTTTGCAGGGCTCCAAACATACTCCTCAAGAGCTTACCCTAAAAATCTTAACTTTGCATATACACTGCAGAAAGAGTATTTTAAGAAGAGCCATGTGCCTTTATAGTGCCACGTGCTAACTTATCTTTCATAAAAATTATAAATCCAGACTTATGTAAGTTCTACCCATCCTTGAGGCAAAGTCAAATCCAATTTCTTCCCAAAAACCTCTCCAATGTCCCAAGTTAGAATTCATTCATTCACTCATTAAATATTTAACAAGCACCTACTAAGTGCCAGGCACTCTTCTAGGTTGCTTGGGCTACTCTGTAGCTCTGATAACATGACAGACTCCTCATAGTTTGTCTTTAATATTTATGTATGCAATTTCTTCTCTCCTTAACTGTGGGCTTCTAGGGTGAAGGAACTATGTCCAATTCACCTCCTCAATCCTGACATTTGTACAGTGCTTTGCTCATAGCTACTGAAACGAAATACAAGAGTGCTAAAACAAATTCCAAGTGGTTAGATTTGAAGAAAAGAGTCTTTTATACTGTCTGGGTCTGCTAAAGAACCAGGAAGGTTGAGGGGCCTAATAATCAGGTATCTCATAAATTCTACCAGATTTCAATTAATTATATGCTTCTTTCTAAAAGAAAATGTGTTGGAATATATGTTGACAAATATTTTCTATCCTTGTTTAAAGGGCACTGTCAAGTAGTATGGGGCCCTGGAGGCACAGTGGTTAAGCATTTGGCTGCTAATCAAAAGGTCAGCAGTTCAAATCCACCAGTCACTCCTTGGAAACCCTGCGGGGCAGTTCTATTCTGTCCTATAGGGTCGCCATGGGTTGAAATCAACTCGACAGCAATGGTTTCTTTTTGGTATCAAGTACTGTATCTGCAACCAATCGTGGGAATGGCATAGCATTTCTTTCCATTGTTCATGCGGTCACCATAGTGAGGGGCCAACTTGAAGGCAGTAATCAAGTTAGGGATCCATATATCAGTTTACATGTATATTAAAACCAGGGATATACCTAAGTTAGCAAGAAAAATGGAAATGTAGCCAAATGATTTTCAGAAATATAAGAGTCACCATCACCAACTACACCCCCCCACCTGCCCCCCCCCCAAAAAAAAAACCAGGAAACACGCCTTCCTCTTCCCATGGCCACAAACACAGTAACAGCAACATCAGCACTGACAACTAGTGAATAAAAGGAACTGACAAACCAAGAAGTGCCACATGTATGGAGAGGAGGGATAAAATGTGTTTGGCAAACTGTCCCAGGATCCCAGTTCCAAACAGGAAAATTCACAAAGCAGAATAAACACAGAACGTGGTGAAATCTATTGGTTGAGAGATTAAAAGCTTTTCTACGTGTCAGGAAACCTTGAGGTCACAAGCAAGAGAATACTGCTGAAAGAAAACTGGGGAGAGGATCAAGCTACATGGTAGGCACTTAATGGATGATAGCTATTATGAGTAGTTAAGGTCTAGCTCAAATGTCCCTCCTTTGTGACGTCCCAGGCAGAGCTACTGAACTTCCTCTGTGCTCCCACAACACTCTGTACAGGCTGCCATCACAGCCTTGACTATATGTCGTCTATAGGTCTGTTCCCACTCTTAAGCAGAGAACTTCTGGAAGGTAGGAGTCATATTCTATACTTCTCTGCAATTGGAACATAGTAGGCACTATACCATTATTAAGTGAGAGAATAAATGGACTACCTCATATGTAGCATAAATTTCTCTCAACGGGAGTAATTTATGACCAGAAAGGAATGAAGAGCCAGGACGGAAGATCACGTGTGTAAGTCTTCTCCCTCATTCAGTCACATTTCACATACTATTCTCTTCATTACTTACGCTGTTCAAAGTACATTAATGTCTCTTCTTCCAATACCAGTAGAAAATAAGTTTCCCAGAGCAAATTCTTCCAGATGATTCAGCATGGAGTGATGGGAGAGCAGGGGATTTGGTTTTTGTTTTTCTCTTCTTATTTGGAAAAATTTAAACTAACAGAAATGTTACAAAAATAGTACAGAGTTCCTTTCACCCGTTATCCTTTTGAAAAGCACCAGTCACTTATTTTGCAGACAGTCCCTCAATTTGGGTTTGACAGACCTAGGTTAGACTCTTGGCTCTGTGACTCACTATGTATGTAGCCAAGGGCAAGTTAACCTCACTGGGACTCAAGTTTCCTCATCTCTAAAATAGGAATAATAATACTGACTTTATGAGGCTGTTTTGAAAATTAAACGAGGAAATATATATTAAAATACCTAGGATATAAGGCCCTACAAAAAATGTTAAAGCTTTTCTTTTTGTCTTGCCTTTCAACTATTTCTGATATTTTGCTGTCTTATCCATATTTTAATCCCTTCTTTTGTAGATAAAACCACATAGAATTCAGCCTTCCGCTGATGACTCAGTGTCATCACTGTAAACAGCCATGGTTGTAGGTCTGTGTCTGGCTTTGTCCTCCCTCACTGCTGCCCCCTTTCACTGTCAGTATGCCAGCCTATAAGTGCTTCTGATTTTCAGCTTGTGATGTGCTGGGATTCATTTATTCACTCATACATTCAATCACAGACTTAGTGAATCCATGAGTGCCAGGCCCTGTGTTAAGATCTTGGAGCTAGTGATAAGTTAGCTCCTGTCCTTGATTTTATCACAAGTGGTTGCTACGAGTCGGAATCGACTCGACGGCAACGGGTTTCATTTTTTTTTTGTTTTAGGGGAAATGGACATAGTCAATTATAATTCAAAGTGATCAATTCGTACAAGCATGAAGATGCCTAGGAGGACACAAGAAGATTACCTAATCTGGACATGGGGAGCGGGTCAGGTCAGGGAAAGTTTCATGAAGAAGGTACTATTATGCCAGAGTTAAAGTTTGTAGAATGTGTAAGAATTAACCAGATGGAGGAGGGAAGAGAGCAAAAAGTATGGAGTATAGGAAGAGCTATTAAAACTGTGTGCTGAATAAAGGTAAATAGGTTCTGAAGAATAAATCTCCTGTGTTGTAAACTTGCAGATTGAGAACAATTTTGCACCAGTACCTCAGGGGCTTAGAAACTTCACCAGGAAACTTCTGGCCCCAGGGCTCTGTTCTGGAGACTGATGTTCTCAGACCTAAACCTTTGGATATTACACTGAGCTTACCTCTTTCAACAACTGTGAGCTGAAGTAAAATTTGAGGCTAGAACTGGCCACTTGTTCCCTAACAGGTTTGCCCCTTTCTGACAGAGGAGTTTCTCACTTTTTTTTTTTTTTTAAATCTCAATGACTACCAAAAAGTCCTTTTAAAACTGACCTTTTCAAGTGAGCTGGCAATAGCTTTTTTCCCTTCCACAGCACTCATTCTGTGGCCTCAGAGGTTTAGCTTTGGGTTCAACTGATTCCAAAGCCCCAATCTAACGCTGTAAATTGGTAATCTTGGCAAGTGGTACAAGCCTATTATCCATTAGATATTGGAACTTAGGAGAACCCAATATAAAATTTTCAAATTATTCAGAGGTTCCTCTGCCAGGGAGTATTTTACTATCCCAATTTTCCATTTCTTTTCATCTGGAGTGTAAATAAATTGAATTCTTGTAGCTTTTCTCTGCAGGGAATATTTCTCAAACCTTAACTGCTTCTAACTCAAAGTAGTAATATTACATACCGTCAACTGGTGTATCAGAAGGTCCATTAAGAAGGTAATCTTGTTACTAAACAGAACATCAGTGCAGTTTTCTGAACAGTTATTGCAGGTGAGGTTGTAAACACTGATTGCATTGCAGAGAGACCTAATAGGAGGAGAAAAACACCATTTGTAAAACCTGAGCAACTCTTTGCCAAACATTTAAAAATATATAAAATGAATGGTATGGGATGGAAGCCACTCTAAAAAACCAAGCCAAAAACTATTAGGTGCAAGGTCCATCAGCTAGATAAAAAGGCTTGTATTTTTCATTCAAAGCCCAGTGTTCATGAGTACCTCTTTATTAATTTTGGATAGCTGCAGAAGCACACAATGGAAACATATTTTCCAGTCTATCTGATAATTTCTTAATAATCTAAGATTAGATATTATTACCCAGGAACTTTGGGATCTAGAATTCTTTGAATAATACCTGAAAAAAAAGGGTCTGTCAAAGCTCCTGTTGCCAGGTCTCCTGGTCCAGGATAACAGCAGATGACGGAAGAAGGAAGTGCCCATGAGGAAAAACTGTAGGCTTTGCCTGGGAGACAAGATCTACAAAATTCTGGAGAGGGAACCTCACACCTGCCTGGAGGCTGTGTGGACATAGACCCAGAGCACCTGAGCAGATGAGGACACCTTTCCTAGAGGGTACAAACTGACCTTTGTAGGCCCAGTCTAAGGTCAAACTGATCAGAGATGTGTTTTTCTCTAAGTGATAAAAAAGAATGATATGCCATTGTTCAAAGAAAAGCTTCGGAGCAACAAGCTGAATGAGCACTCTCATGGGTGCTTTGAAGATTAACACTAAAACCTGCATTACCTGAGTAAGCAATGCTGATTCTGGCCTGTCTGACTAAATCTCTTGCTTAAGTCCTGTGCAGAGATGTTTTGATTCAATCCCTTACAACCAATCCTCTAGAAACAGTAGCTCTTAAAGTGTGATCATCGGACCAGCAGCATCAGTATCAACTGGGAACTTAGTAGAAACGCAAATTCTCAGGCTATATCCCAGACCTACTGAATTAGAAACTCTGGGGATGGAGCCTAGCAATCTGTGGTTTAACAAACACTGCAGGTGATTCTGATGCTCATTCAAGTCTAAGAACCACTCCTCTATGATGCAATTGAATCAATTCTGACTCATAGCAATCCTATAGGACAGAGAAGAAATTGCCCCATAAGGTTTCCAAGGCTATAATCTTTATAGAAGCAGACTGCCACATCTTTCTCTCACAGAGTGGCTGGTGGATTCGAACCACCGACCTTCTGGTTAGCAGCCAAGTGCTTAACCACTATGCCACCAAAGTTCCTTCTCCTCTAGGATAAAGGTTCTACATTGTGACTGAGCATTAAAATCACCTGTAAAAAAATCCCAAACCAAACCCATTGCCATCAAGTGATTCCAACTCATAGCAACCCTCACATGAGTATGAGAATCATTTGTAGATCTTTAAAAATACAGTGAAACCTGTGACAGCCAGAATTTGACGGGACTGCCTTGTTTTTCCGGGTCTCGAAAGTTTTCTGCCTTTGAGAGCGCAGTCTTACCACTTTTCTATTGCTCCTTTTAGTGGAAAATACTTGAGTTTTCCTTCTCTGACAGGTTTCTGACCTACACAGGTTCCAGGTTTCACAGGTTTTACAGTATATGCTTGCCTGAGTTCCTCTCCTAGCAATGCTGGTTGGGGGCTGGGGTCGGCTGTAGACATCTGCATGTTTCAAAGGCACTATGGGCGATTCTGATGTGCAGCGAGTTGAGAGCCACAGGTCTAAGAACCACCATGAGGGTATTCATTCATTCAACAAATATCTAAGTGCCTATGATGTTCCAGACAGTGTGCTAGATGGATAAGACAGACAGGCTCTTCGTCCTCATGGAGTGGATGCTCTAGTGGGAGAGAGACGGTGACGAGATTTTCTGTTGTAATCATCTGTTTGTCTGATATTGTTGTACCCTACTTCATATATAATTGATATGTTCCTAAAAACTAGGCACAGTGGAGTCCATTGGTTAGGAGTATAGACACTGAAATAACACCCACCTAGGTTAGAATGCCAGCTCCGCCACTCAGGATTTTAGCAAGTTACGAATTTACCATCTTAGCATCCATTTTCTCACATATAAAACGGAGATAATAATACCTAAGCTTTACATGGTTGTCGTAAGAATTAAATGAGATAATAGATGTAAAGTACTTAGGACAGCATCTGGCACATGGTTAAGTATTTAATTACGGTTATTAATCTTATTATTTGTTATGAATAAGGTGCAAGTGAAATGTTAATAAACTGAATCAAATCAAAGCATGCCATGGAAGCTATTATTTCCAGGGTAATAAAGCACAGTGCTTCCCAACTTTTTCCATGTTATTTGGCATAAATGATGACAACAACTTTAAGCTAGAAGGAGCCAGAAGAGGCTTCGCTGTCCTAGCATCACTATATCTCCTGAAGGACTGAACAGAAAAACTTGGGTCTACACGTAACTCATTTGTGACACATTGGTTGGAGACTCTATCTAGCAAATTCTTCAAAAAGGCTAATCAGCATTATTTCATTTATTTGATTACATGTCTAGAATTTTGAAAAGAGGGCTTTTCTTTTTAATTTAAAAAAATTAAAAAAAAAA